CGGCGGAGCCGCTGCTGTTGTGGCCGTGGCAGCCGCGCTCGGCGCCCAGCCGGTCCCACAGGTACTGAAACAAAGATATTTACTCAGCATCAAAGTCTGACCAACGTGAAGTCGCGTTCCTTTTCATTGACAGCAGTGGGGATAACCCTCCATGAGTGCGTCGAACGGAATGACAAAAGCAAAAACCTTATATTCGCTAAAGTCATTACATATACATGTTAAATCCCGCCTTTTCCGCACCCCCCACTGTATAGGGTTGCTGTAATTATTTCACGGTCTTTGCTGCCATCTATCGTCCTTTTATTACAATTAGAGTCCAGTGTTACACAGTCTTTGTTCCAACCGTATATTAATTCTTAGTAGCGTTGGATGACTTCTTTTCCTCTTGGATGACTCTTTTTTTTCTTTTTTTTTTTCATTTTTCCTTGAATGCTGAATGCTGATTAGTTAGGTGTCAATTGGAAGAGATCCGTCCTACCTACTTGCAAAAGTTCTTTCCTCAATCCCCCTTACTTACAAAAGTTATATCCCTTATCTAAGGTTAGGCAATTCTCATCAAGTTAAGCAAAAATGCAAGGCTCACGGTACATTAGAAGCACACGCATAGATTTAGCCCGAAATAATTCCACACTAATTCTTTATGTACCGTTTTCTATTCAAGCGCTAGAAAAAAAAAAAAATTAAAATCCTAAAAAAAAAAAAAAAATCGTATTAATAAACCCAAAATTAATTTGGAATGGACACGGTTTAGCAGACAATGTTTAAGAGCCCCCTTCAGCACTGGGTGGCCCCGAACGGCAGCGGCTCGGCCGCGGGCGGGGGGATCGCGGGGGGCGGTTGGCGGCGGGTGAACGGCCGTGTCCGTTGCCTCCAGCGGCAGATCCCAGGCCTTTCAGCACTGGGATAGCTCCGGAGCCATGGCTGGCATCTTGGAGGTGATCCTAGCCTTCAGGAAATACCTCATCATCGTCACGGTAACCGTTTTGTCTCTCGCTCTGCCTCTGGCGGTGCCTACCAAGGTAAGGACTTTTTGAATCCTGCTTAAAAGCCAAATCTCCACATCTCGGAGCTGCTCCTTCTAAGTGACACAGTGAACAGACCATCAGTCTTCTTGAAGAACACTCAGTGACATGGGATTTGTGACTTTTGCTTGGCATCTGACTGGTTTAGCAAAGGACTTTCTATGCTGAAGATTTTAGGTGTGAATCCAAGTTACAGTCTAAGGTCCAGTTTTAATCCCCCTTCTGATTTTCTAACAGTATCCAATGCCCATCTTCTTTGACTTTTTTTCCCTTTTTTATTTTCTTTTTTTTTTTTCTCCTGTTCTTATCCCAATCCTCCTTACGTACAAAAGTTCTATTTCTTATCCAAGGTTAGGAAACTTTTAGCAAGTTCGGCAAAAACGCCAGGAAGCACACACACACACAGCGCAGAACTGCCTCAGGCTAAAGCTAATTCTTTACGAGCTGCTTTCTATTGAAGTGGTAGAAAAAAAATTAAAAGCTAAAAAAAACCTGACAAAACAACACACCCAAACCTATTTACATCAATAAACCCCAACTCAATTTGGAATGGACACAGTTTAGCAGACAATGTTTAAGAGTCCCCTTCAGCACAGGGTAGCGAGCG